ACCGTGAGGTTGAATTTTCACACCGTGACAACCCTAATACAGCCCATCTCCTGAATTATATTGCTCTTTAGGCATCTTTTAAAATTTACCATCACATTTTATGCTGAGCTTTGTAAAGCAAATTTGTAAAACAAATTAACTCAGACTGACAGCAACTGTTGAACCATCTTGTTGTTGGACTTTCCTGGGTCCTCCATTCATTACACACGCACGTATTTAGCAACAGAACACCACTGCTGTGAGAGGTTCTCCACTTAATATTATCAGAGAAGCAGAAACAGCCGGCTGCTACCACTTCAAATTTAGGCCAAACTACCAGAGTCCCAAAAAGTAAAACACCATTTAAAGCCACAGACAACAAAAGATGTTTGGACCTAGAAAACAGTGACTGGTTAGTGCTCTCTCGTTTCCTCTGGCAATGTGGGTCTCTGAGAACATACCCAAGGGGAGGGGTGAGTGTTCTGTGACTATGTTTGCATTCAAAGCATGTTCTTGCATAATTTGCTAAAGGTCATGAAATCATGAGCAGGACCCGTTTTCTTTATTGCTATCAAAACTAGAATTACATAAACAAATGACGTTGATGCAAGGAGCATACCTTAAAGTTTTGGCTTTTTAAAAATCATGGCGTTATGATTCATTTGGTTCAATCACAGTTTTTGCATAACTAACAACAATGTCCAAAAGCCTGTTTAAAAAATGTTAGACTCTTGTCTCCAACTTACACCGATGTCATAAAGAACGTGTCCTTTACAACATCTTCTGCAGGACGTGGGTCCACAGGAGTGGTGCCATGTACCTCTTTCAGGCTGTGCACATCTCAGTGACTACCATCCATCAGTTTGCTAACAAGTCTCCACCCAAGGCCTGGCTCAATGTATCCCTATTGTAAAGAGGGTGTCTTGGTCCTGTGTGTTTATAGTCATTGTAAGGGGCTTATATTTACATTTAGTCAGGCCACTCACACAAAAACAACTTGCTATAGAAGACCACATCAGGTGCCAAACTGTCCAAGTCAACATAGCTTCAGGGATTCTTGAAATAGTCAATCCTACCCATCTAGAGGAAGTGGCAATTCATGAGGGCATTTGGCAAGAATGCCATCTGAACACTATTTGAGCACGGTGTTTCAGACATGTCCCACCAAGTCAAGACCACTGGGCAGACCATGGAGTGTCTGGGGAGATCTTCCATCTAGTCTGGGAACACCTTGGAGCCTCTGAATGGACTGAAGGAAGTAGCTGGGATTAAGGAGATCTGTGTGTTTTTGGTTACGCTGCTGTCCTCATGATCTGGTTCTGGATAAGTGGCTAGGATGGAAAAAGTCTGGCTCAATAATAAAGCTGTTCTATTTACATTAGTTCTAAACAATTTTAAATAGAGAAAGTTTAGATTTACTTTTTTAATTTGTTTTACTTGAAGAAATACTGTATCCTCCTATTTTTAACATAAGGACAGAACTGACCAGTATTTATATTTAATGCCAGGTTTGGAATTTGAATAATCATTATCTAAAAAAAATGCAGCCTTAATGAAGACAGCAAACATGAAGAAGACAGTAATGCAGATTTATGGTAGCTGCAGCTGGGGCGCTAAAAACGAGGCCAGTGTTTGATGGAATGAAGTCCATTAACAAGCTCCAACAACACAAGACAGAAGAACAAGAGTTGAGTTGTCTGATCAGCCAAAGACTTTGAGCTTGTTGACTTCACACGTAGTGCGTCAGTGCCACAGCGATCTGTGAGATTACATAAGACACCCAAACAGTCTGTCGACTGTCGCAGTGGAAGGGCTCCAAACGGGGAGAGGAGGAAGCGTTGAGTTTGAGTCATATGCACAGAGATTTAGAAACAAATGTGAGGGCTTAGATGATGACATGAAATCAGGCATCACATATACACAAGTGGGACAGGGGAGTAAAAGGCTATTTGTCTGATGAATGGTAACAGCTCTTTATTTTGTTATATGATGCTTGCAAAACATGGTGTTTAGCAAGGTTGGCTTTCAAGTGAAGTGGCACATTATGAAAAAGGATTTATTCTTTGAGTTTTCATCCTTTTTTATGCTTGAATGTTTCAATTTTGCCCCTCAGTATGACCAACAACTTGACTGTAAGTGAAGCACAAAGCTAGCTAGCATTTTGTGTGGAAAAAGTCAAGGAAATTACTCAATAATGATCCTAAGTTTTCTTTGTGACTTCAATAATCATGTCGATCCCAAACGAAGATGGTAAGATGAAGGACGACGGTGCTTGGCGGCCCCAAAAGACACCTAATGTATCGGTCCTCTGCCATTTTCAGTGCAACTTTCTATGCTGTCCCTTCAACAAAATGTACCGGGTATAAGGAATTATGTTATCATTTTAAAATAAGGGTCCCTTTATTAATGTTACCTAGTGCATTATTAAGCATTAATAAACAAAGGATCCCTTTACTAATGTTCCCAATATTGTTAACTAACGTCCTTAAGGTTAGGACAAAGGGCTGGGTGGAGGGGGGATCTCCTTAGTAATGCATAACTTAATATTAACATTAATAATATGGTGTTAATATTTTTTTCTAATAACTCATTCATGCTTAATAATGCCCTAACATTAATAAAGGGACCTTTATTGTAGAGTGTTACTGGAAGTATATATCTTTTTGAATTTGAATGTTTAAAATGCTAGCAGTTGCCATTCACTTGCATTGTTTATACTAAGCTAACGCTAACAGAATAGTGCCGGATTAGGAGAATGACTGGGCTGGTTAGAAAAATGCTTTATTTAAATTTTTATAACTCTGGGGATTTACATTTCACTAAGGGGTAGGATATCCATTTAACCAAAAACACTATAGAGTATAACAAAAGCACTGTTTTCAAGTTAATTTTGATCTAACTGCATTGAAACTACCTTGGTGGATGTTGGTTGGCAAGGAGATGATAGAAAGTTGTCTAAAAATGCTTACTCATCTCAAATGCACAATTGTTATTTATCTTTTTCAAAAGAAAAGAAGAAAATGAAGTTTATCTGTAGAAGTTTGTTTGAAACTTTACAGAGAAACAATTTAACTAGCTGAGTATTTGAATTTCCTCAGCCTTTTTCTCAACCTGTGTTCATAGTCACCACAGGAACCTCTCTGCGGATGAATCCTGATAGATCCCCATTACCCTGGGAGTGACCCCCTCACAGCTCAGTTCATTAAGCCAGCCACCCAAGTGTTCAGGACTCCAGTCCGGATTTAATCACAACTTCCATCCTCTTGCCAATCACAATTAGAGCCTGATAAGCCTCTTCAGGATGGCACCCGAGGGCATTTACACACAGACAAAGGTTAATTTGTGAGCAGCAAGGGCCCAGCTAGGAGGCCAAAGGTCACCTGATTGAATACATAGAAGTATGTGTGTGAGCAGACGGTGGGTCTTGGCAGCAATTACAAACTTCATCAGTATTCATGTGTTTCTTTCATGGGTAATAGGTGCATTACTTTGAAAGAGGTGTGCTGATTGCATGTGGCCCTTTATAGGAAATAGCTTGAGGGGAGTGGTTAGGCAGCTGAAATTGTACGGTAATTTCTTTACCGTTGTCTTTAAAAGTCTCTTCACACATGGAGTTCTTTCTGTGAGCTGACTGGCAAATCAGAACCTGGCAGTTCTGAAATCAATTCATATAACCAATTTATGCCATAATTATTTAATCATAGCCATGCTGAAAGAAACAATACGCTTCATCTTAAAGTAGCCAAACACTGGGAAAGACCCACAAATACATGTTTGAATCAGTGTCTGTAAAACTGACAGATTTGAAGCCATTTTTGCGTTTGCTGAGGTTCATCAGTTGTGGTGGCCATCTTGAATCAGATTGTGTCTAAAAGATTTGGTTGGAGATGTAATGATTACTTTCTGAGAGCAATCTGTTAGCACTCTGAGTGTGTGTTGGGTATGATTACCTGCTACGTTTTAGTTCGGTATCTAGTAAATTACTAAGGGTTGATCAGCTGTAGTCTCTTTGAACAGAGTTGAGTTCAAGTTAATCAGTTGTAGCTGTAGAGCTTAGCTGATGGTTACATTCTGAGGGTTTCACTAAAATACATAATTCAGATGTTTTCACAGATACAGGTTTGAGTCAGACTTCAATGTTTTAAGCAAAAAAATGGGTTGCACACGGATTGTGTTGGGAATGTCTCAGACTAATTATTGTAAATATAGTTATTTCTGTGTTTGGTATGTTGATTGGCTGTGGCAGCAAGTTTTAGGTTGATAAAAATGTTATATTGTCTCCAAAAGTGAAATATCCATTAGTAACTTTATGAGAGTTTTATTGAAACATATCCAGTTCACACTTCAACACAACATTGACAACATTTGCACTATAATTAAAATTTTATCCGTCCATCCATTTTCTTGAGCTTATCCGAAGTCGGGTCCTGGTAAGTCGAGACACCCAGACTTCCCTCTCTTCAGCTCTTACAGGGGATCCCTAGGCGTGATTTATAACTTTATATAATAAAAAAATTTATAATTTTATTAAAAACCAAAATGTGGAGAATGTAAACTGTACACAGAAAGCCATATTGTGGCTGCAGGGCACCAATGTAACCAGCTGTTCCAGCAGGTCGGCTTGATTATTGGTCGATTTTGTTAAAGTCCTTTGGTCTGGATTTCGATTTCATACATTGATGTTTCCCTAAAATTGAAAAGATTGATAAGCAAGGTCGCCTTCTGTATCAGATTGAAAAAAATAAATAAAATGAGTGACATTTTTTTTTCATGTTTGATGGGTTAGGGGAACTGAACATGGAAAGAACAGATGATACACAGATTCTTTTCGTAAAAACTCCTTTTGAATAAGTGAAACACACGCTGTGTTGCTCTTAACCTGATGATGTCTGTGCTAACTCACCAGATCTACACCACAGAGCTTGTGTCAGAATCTACAGAGTAAACAGACCACTTTGTTCTGCCCTGTTTATGACTGCATCATTCTGACCTCGACACCTGTGGTGCTATGTCATTTCCAGGCCAGCTGGCAGCAGGGACATGCGAGATTGTGACGTTGGACAGGGACAGCAGCCAACCACGACGCACCATCGCCAGGCAGACGGCCCGCTGTGCCTGTAAGAAGGGCCAGATCGCCGGAACTACAAGAGCCAGACCCGCCTGTGTGGACGGTAAGAGGAGGGAGGGGAGGTGATCCTGGCTTTGCTTGCTTTGTTTAAGGGGCCACTTAGCGTTTGAGTAGCTCACTCCAGTGACTCGCTTCAGTTCATTGAAAATTACTCAAACATGAACATGTTATTCCTACGGCGTGCTGTACTCAATGGGTCGGCTTTGAAGCGCTTTAAGAACATTACATGTAAAATGGAACCACATCCAAATGTGCAGCTGTGGAAACCGACAGCTACTGGAAGGCCTGGCTGTTTTCTTTATTTAGTGACTGGTTTCTGTGGATAAACCTATAGTGTGGAGCAAAGTGGATCACAAGGCTGTCTTTATGTTAGTAAGACCTGCACCGAATCTATTTAGAGTTGAGTCATTTTCAAAAGCTGCTGCAGGGGACTTTTTAAATCCCACACTAACAGATGGGCTTATTTTTCTCTGAATAGTGACACCATTACTGCCATGGTGTAAGCGGTGGGAGAGTCAGACTGTTCTTATCCTTACTGTCACTTTTTTTTTGCTTTTAATACAATCCTATCCATTTTATATAAAGTTATTTAAATGATACAATAACAATAATGTAGGCTGTTTGGAAGCAAATGGTTGTTTGAGGTTACCGGCTGTCAGTTGTCTAGATATTTTACATTCAACCATTCAACCAACAGTTCAGTGGGCAGATTTGGTGATTTACAGCCGTCACCAGGGACTCAGGAAATGTGATGAACATTTCAGTCTGTTTTCAGACATTTTATCACCCGAATCACCTAGAAACTAGCAACGATTAACAGGATTTTAGGTCATTTTTATGATTAATTGCCTAACAAGTTTTTAAACATTAGAAAAATGTCATACGTAAATAAACGTCCACTGCAAGTGACATCGTGACCAAGAAGTCATTTAAGCAATAATGCATTTAATCAGTAACTCAGTTTACTCACTGTTATGTGAACATAAAAAAGCCTGGTTTTAAAAATGTATTAATTATTTGGGGAGCCTACATCACTCCCCTGTGCTTCTGGTTCACATATGATGTCAGTGATTTTTAAAGAAGCATTTTGATGCCACTTAGCAGCACAGCAGTTAATTTAGGTTTTGTGTGAAAACATGTAGTGGACTCCAAACTGCTCATTCTCACCAAAATTTATGTCATCAAACCAGACACGGAGAAGAAGGAGGGGAAGGAAGTAGTGGTGAAAGTAGTGAAAGGAGGATAAAACATGGTGAAAACCACCATAAATCTGGCCATGTGGAAAGTAGCAGCTACGCTGGAGGAGAACAGACTCTGATTTGTGATCATTTCTATTACAATTTTTTCACAAACTAATAAACCTTGAATTACGTGGCAGACTTAATCTAAACACCAGTCATTACTGAAATTGAAGTACAACATGTGTGTGACTCAGGGTTTAAGGCAAAGCAGAGCAGAAAACAACTTTAAATATATATATTTTTTTGTTTGGGCGACCCGTGAGCTGACCGGACAGGAAGGAGACTTTATAGTTGTTGCAAAAACAACGCACACTTTTCTAGAAAAGGGAATTCCTAAACATTGTTACCAAATCTGTTAATCGCACCAAACAAATATTTCTCACCACCCACATTTAATGTTGAGATATACCTGAAAAGGTTGGGATATTTAAACAATATAGAAAACAGTTACTTAATAGTCATAATAAATGAGACATTAGCTACAACTGACTAAAGCCAAAAAACCTGCAGACAGCTGCAGCAGTGAACATACTGAAATATGTAGGATTTATCACCATGTGCACACAGTGTTGCACCTTCTTTTTTTCAGGCTGTATGGATGAGTCATTTTCAGTTGTGCTATTCCACATGGAGTTAACCTAAACACTTTAATTGTGTGCATTCTTTTGTCAGGGTGTGTTAGGGTTAGGGTTAGCATGGCATGCTACTGCACTTCTAGGAAATCGGACAGCTGTATCTACTTTTAATTACTCCTGAAGAACAGTTGACTAGGTGTGGAACTTAACACTGTCCATTTTGGAACTTAACACTGTCAATTTTGGATTTAACTAAAGGATACCTTCAGGAATATTCCAAACTCTGATTTTATTAACATCAACTAGTAATTATCTGTGTGTGGCAAAGATGGAATTTAGCTTTTGTAGCAACAAAATGTAAAACCTGCTTGGATTTCCCTGAAAGAGCCACAAAAGGGATTAAAACCAGGATAACAGTAATTTGTTTATTTTTTATAAAAAATAATCAAATGTCACTAAGATTTCATCAACTGATCTTCAGGTAACTGTTTGAAGTTAGTGCCAAAGTGTTTAAATTGGATCAAAGACATTCACACCAGTGAGGTGGAATGAGGGTTAAGCTTTAGGCCCTGTCCACACGTCGCCGGGGATCTGCCAAAACGTAGATATTTTTCTACGTTTTGGCCTGTCATCCACAAGAAAACGGAGTTTTTTCACACGAAAACGGATCTTTTTAAAAACTCCGGCCAAAGTGAAGATCTGCGTTTTCTCCGTTTTGGGTGTCTGCGTGTGGACAGACAAAACCGGAGTTTTAAGGTCTGCAACGTCACTTTCCGCGACAAAAAAATGCTGACATCACGTGTGCGACCTGTGTTTACACTAGCCGACAGCATGGATGCCCTCAGAGCTGCACTCGCTTTATCAATTGTCCAAGCGCTTTTTGCTTGTTTGTATTTGCAAGTGGAATTACTGCTCCTTGCGGAAGACCACAGACGAAGGATGAGGTTAAGAACGGGGGAAGTACTGCCGTCTACAGGTCTGGCATGTCCTTAACAACGTATTTATCCGGGTACGTGTGGACAGAGTTTTTTTTAAAACGAGGTGGTGTGGATGCAAGTTTTTGGAGGGGCGGATGTTCGTTTAAAAAAAACGGCTACGTGTGGACTAGGCCTTAGTTTTTGCTACAGTGGCTGAAGGATGTTGCATCATATATTTGCATTATGAACAAACTGCTTTGGGAATCACTAATACTCTTTAAAAGAGGAACTGGACCTTTCAGAAGCTCAAGAATCACAAAAGTAAATCTACCTAAAACAATTAGTGCTGTGGAGTCACCTTATGGGGTCTCTAGGTTTTACACAGAAAATAATACATTTATTTTCACTTATGATTATTGAACTCTCACAATGATTCTAACAGCACAATTGGTCTATTGGCACTGTTAGAAGAAAAAAAAATCATATTCCAAAACATGTTAAAGAAATCCAACATTTTCTATTAAATCTACTATTTTTACATATCTGTAAAATAAATGTAAACAGCTAGATTATCTCCAGTACACAGTGAGCATCTAATCATAGCAGCTAAAGAATGTTGTCCTTGGATACTGTCGTGGGAATCAGCCACCTTTCCTTTGTTTCTCTGGCCACCGTTTTAGCTCTTAGAAAGAAGACAAATTTGGTGATGGCAGCCGTCACATCTTTATATGACATATTCACTGTTTTCCAATTTCCCCTGAGAAACAGTCTGTTGCTCTCTTGCGATGTGGCTTCTGCTCACATAGAGGGGGTGTTGTGAGCTCAGGTAAGGGGAGAAATAAATGTCTCTATTGTCACGCCGGACCAGCTATGAGCTGTAACTTTGGATGCCTCGCTTTGCCAGTAATTTTTTGACAGTTAAGGCTTTGAATGGAATGACTGCAGATCCTCAGAGCTCTGATTGATTTTAGCTTCTGATTACATGAGGAAATGGCTTGACCTGACTGTACAGTGTGTGTGGATGTCTTCTTCCACCCACTGATCTTTTTAGTTAGCTAAAGGCCTGTCCTGAAGTGTAATGTTTGTGGTTCCTGCATTTGAGTGAAAACAATAAGTTTTATCTGGTTAACACAACCAGTTTCTACCTGGTTAGATCCACAGTGCACTGCAGGATTTTGTGTAAAATAGATAGTTCTCAACTTTGTTAGTGACCATTTGTTTGAATCTTTATTCTCATGGGGTGGCCCGGGTGGAGCATGGGTGGCTCCATATGGTCATCCTTCACAAAATCATTCTATTTTTATTCCAGAAATTGTGCAATGACCAATTTTCTCTCTTTTTCTTCGAGCCGTTTTGTGGTGGTTAATAAAGTTAAAATCCCATAGTCATCGGCTCTTGTCCTGTCTGACTACAGAGCACTTCTTTGCATTTCTCCTGAAACCACTACTCTTTTTTGGAAATATGGACTTAATTAACTGGTCATTCAACGCGGTTGATAAATTTTTTTCTACGATGAGAACGGAGAAGGGGGCTCCCACCTGTCCCGAGGGGACATTCGCAGCGGGATATGCACTCGATTCTTGGGAGGTCTGGCGAATCGTGTGCCTCTCTCAGTTGTCCATCGAGGACGTGGAAGATTTGTGGATGTTCGGCCTGATGATCACTGGATTTCTGCTGATTGGAGTGGGAGGATATCTGGTTTTCTGGAAATTTGGGAAGACGGGAACGATTGGAGTGCGACCCGTGCCCATGGAATGTGCCGCTCGTGCGGTGACCTCACAGACTGGGACGTTACTCGAGGTGAACCGTAAGCTGGATAATGACATCACGTGTGCGACCTGTGTTTACACTAGCCGACAGCATGTTGACTTCACACATAGTCATCTCGGAGAGGGTCGCCGGACGATGTGGGGATGTTTAGAACGTAAAATTGGCTTCACTGGTGGACATGAATGACCACTTATAGACTCCAAGGCAGAGAGGAAAATTATCTCTGCCTGCCCCAAACAAAGTCATGTTTATCCTTATCTGACACCAAGGCAGCCTCTCAAGGCTGCTTCAACACACCCCCACGAAAGGAGGAATCGTGACAGATGCTGTGTCCCGACCTTCCCCCCCTGCCTTCAGATTGTGACTTCTGCTGAGGTCAGCGACCTGCGGGAAACTCAATGTGCTCTCTGTTCCTTATCTCTCCCTCCCACCTGTTGGTCTGCAGCTGGTTGATGCGCTGTACCGACAGCTCCCATTGGAGGCTTCAGGATCCCGCCCAACCCCGCCTCCCCATCGAACTCTGATGTTTTGTATCTGTGC